ATTTGGAGAGATGGGGATTTAGAGAGTTGGGGATTTGGAGAGTTGGGAATTTGGAGATTTGGGGATTTAGAGAGTTGGGAATTTGGAGAGTTTGGCATTCTGAAGATATAGGGATTTGGAGAGTTGGGGATTTAGAGAGTTGGGAATTCTGAAGATTTGGGGATTTGGAGAATTGGGAATTTGGAGAGTTGGGAATTAGGAGTGTTAGGGATTTGGAGAGTTGGGGATTCTGAAGATTTGGGGACTTGGCGAGTTGGGAATTTGGAGAGATAGGGATTTGGAGAGTTGGGGATTCTTGCATTTGTGGATTTTAGAATGTTGAGATCTGAGACTTAGAAATTTGGAGATTTAGGGACCTACAGATATTGGCATCTAGGGATATTGATATCTGAACAATTTCGAATTTGGAGATATTAGGATTTTTCCTTTTGTGCATTTAAAAATTTTGAGATTAAACTTTGGAAATTTGGAAATTTCAGAATATAGAGCCATTGGAATCTAGGGATATTGGGTGTTGGAGAAGTTGCATCTAAAGATGTTATGATCTAGGGATATTAATACCCCATTTATTAATAACTCCAATGTCATTGCTATGACACCATTCTATATTTCTCTAGATGCATATCTCTTGCTAGGGAAAAAATCCCTCTTCACTCGAATGAAGTGGTAACCCAAACTCCATTGCTATAACCTTAATATAACCTTAATATAACTAGACTATCATAGTTTTTCATAGATGGAAATTTTTAGGAAGAATAAGAAAATGTAGGGAAACGTGTAGAATGAAAAGTGAAATGTTTCTTACATTTTTGGTATCTGAATCTTGTCCGCATCGTTCTGTCTACCGAAATCGTGCCAAGGTCGTGACCTCGGTGGATTCGGGTTAGGGTTCGGTGTGGTCGCAGCCGAGGACACCAAGGCTCCACGTTGCACCTGCGCCTGTGCGTGGCTCTGTTGCAACTGCAGCTGCAAAGGTTGATGGTGTATCACTGCACCACTTTCGAGGACCACAGCGGCTCCTGCTGCTGTTCCGCCGGGACATAATTCCGTGTAGTCGAAAGAGGACTGCGTGCATAATACAAAATTCATTATTATTATAAATTCATTATCATTAAAAATTATTATTATAATTATACTATACATATAGACCATTATAATAGTCATTATTATTATAAATTCATTATTATAATATCAAATTTGTATTTGATCACTTGTAACTTTCAAAATCACCAATATTTCCAAAATCTTCGAAATCCCTAAAATCCACAAAAATACCAAAACCCTCAAAATTTCAAAATTTCAAAAAGGGCATCACATATTATCTTAATCTGAGTGAAATGTTACATGCAAATAATTTATTGCATGTTTCCTGGGTCCGCAGTTTGACCACCGTGGAGTGAAAGTGATTATAGTTCAATCTTTCAATCTAGCATTTTAATTTACTAAAATGTTGTTTCGCAATCGCCCGATTAAATTACACGATCGTGTCAACTGATAACGTTTATCCAATGCTTAATCTCTTAACGTAGCACTATATCTATGCACTTATATTGCCAATAATACTATTAATTTCTTTTTATTATTATAATAATAATTTTATTATTGCTGCAAATGTAAGTATACTGGGTGTCTCATAATTAGTGTAAGTCCCTGAAATGGGAGGTAGACGATGTGATTCTGAATAAGATTTCTCTTTACAAAAATGGGATTTGTTCATGATCGCAGCAGGTTCGAAGCCATCACTACCTGAGCATGAAGATCGAAGCCATCACTACTTGAAATCTTCACGCTGTGATTGGTGCCGTGTGTTTCCTTAATAATTCAAAAACGAAGCTTCAAATCACATTTCTGCAAAGGGAAAACTTATTCAGAATCAGCTATCCCTTATTGTAAGGACACTAATTGTGACACACCCTGTATAATTATAATGACAAGTATAATATAAATAATTTATTATTAAATAAGAATTGCTTAAACGAAGGATCATATACTATAAAAGTATCTATCAAAATAATTTTGTTAATAAGAAAAATGATGTTCTTAAATATAATACTATATTATTATTGCCACGAATAGTACCTAATTGCTTTAATGAATGGCACCTAATTGATTTAATGAATGGAAACTTAGTGATTTCGCTGAGAGAAAAATAGAAACGGAATTTATGCAACGACGTTCACAACGATAATATGTGCATTAGCATAAGCATAAAATACCGATTAATTTTTTCCTACTACTATCGTGCCAGTCGTGAAAAACATTGAATGAGGATAAGTAATAATCATAAGTTGACCGAGTGAATTCACACTCGGAGTGGTTTTAATATAGAGTAATTAACGTAAATTCGAATGATTAATTGCGCTGCAGTCGATGGACTCGAATAATTGCTTTGTGCAATTAAAATCACGTAAAAGTCGAAAAAAACGTAACCTTAATATACTTATGACGTTTACTTCTTACTAATGTTTTCGTTCCATTTATTTTTTACGGTTAAGAGGAAATGTTACGCGACATTCTCAACTTCGATTAAAATATAAATTCCAAATTACTTTGTTATTCGTAATGAGTGCTATTTATAATTTGTTGCAAGATGTGGGTTTGGGAATTCAAGGTTATGAGAATCTGGGGATTTAGGGATCTGGGGATTTAGGGATCTGGGGATTTAGGGATCTGGGGATTTAGGGATCTGGGGATTTAGGGATCTGGGGATTTAGGGATCTGGGGATTTAGGGATCTGGGGATTTAGGGATCTGGGGATTTAGGGATCTGGGGATTTAGGGATCTGGGGATTTAGGGATCTGGGGATTTAGGGATCTGGGGATTTGGGAATCAGGGGATTTAGGGATCTGGGGATTGGGGACTTTGGAGATTTGGGGATCTAGGGATTTGTGGATTTGGGGATTTAAGGATCTAGGGATTTGTGGATTTGGGGATTTAAGGATCTGGGGATTTAGGGATCTGGGGATTTAGGGATCTGGGGATTTGGGAATTTGGGGATTTGGGGATTTGGGAATTTGGGAATCAGGGGATTTGGGGATTTGGGGATTTAGGGATCTGGGAATTTGAGGATCTAGGGATTTGGAGATCTGGGGATTGAGGGATCTGGGATTTCGAGATCTGGGGATTTGGGGATTTAGGGATCTGGGGAAGTAAGAATCTGGGAATCTGGGAATTTGGGTATCTAGGGATTTGGAGATCTGGGGATTTAGGGATCTGGGATTTCGAAATCTGGGGATTTGGGGATTTAGGGATCTGGGGAATTAGGAATCTGGGAATTTGGGGATCTGGGAACTTGGAGATCTAGGGATTTTGAGAATTTTGGGATTTGAGGAAATAGGAATTTAGATATGGGAGTCTAAGGATTTTTGGATTTAGAATTTTAAGAATCTAGGGACTTGGAATTTAGTAACGTAAATCTATAACACAGTCTAAGTATTTGGTAAATACATAATAATCTAGTAACAAAAATAATAATCTAGTAAGAAAACTCTAGAACATCTAAGCACATAATAACCTAATAACTTTGGTGTCCAAAAATCTCGAAATAAACAAATTTCAAAAATATTAAAAAACTCGGAAGTACAAAAATTGATAAACCAAAAGAAAAAAGAAAAAATAGTCAGTTATGCAGGCACGAATTACGGAAACCGCTTCATCCACGATAAAACGAAGAAGGAATTTTCAGTGGATCGAATCATCCCGTCGATCGGAGGCAAATTGCGAGCCCGGCGGCTAGTATCTCGCATAATTCTCGCGGGCGTCGAACGCGCAGCGATCCGCGCCGGACCATAAGCGATCCGTCACTCCCACGCATGCGCGGTTGTCGCGGGTAATCGGCCGCTTCCGGAAACATTAATCGGCCGACGGGTTGTGTCGTGCGAGTTAAGTCATTAGCATTAGCGGTTGACATTACGAATTAGAAAGCACGCGTTCCGTTCTGCTCTGCTTGCACACGCCGCACCGCGACGTTTTAGAAACGGATCGTCCACCTAATCGCCACTGAATTCCGTTCGATTATTACTGAAAAATTTTATTGGACTGTTTCATGATAGCGGTGTGAGTACAAACGGTGAAATTTGCGAGTTTTTTATTTGGGAAACGGGGAATGTGAATCTGGGGACTTTTGGATTTAGAAATTTGGGAGACTTGGAAATCTAGGGATTTTCAGATCTAGAAATTTTTGGGAATTTTCGCTAGGGATTTGGGAAAGTAGGAAATTAAGAATATTAGTAATATGGAAATCTAGGGATTTTTGGATTTAGAAATTTGAGAGTTTTGAGGTTTAAGAAACTAGGGAATTAGGAATTTGAAAAATATGGAAATCTAGGGATTTTTAGATCAAGAAATTTCGGTATCTAGGGATTTATTAAACTAGGAAATTAAATACTTTAAGAATATGAAAATCTAGGGGGCTTTGGATCTAGAAACTGGAAAATTTTGAGATTTAAGAAGCTAGGGAATTAGGAATTTAAAAAATATGGAAATCTAGGGATTTTTAGATAAAGAAATTTCGGTATCTTGGGATTTATTAAACTAGGAAATTAAATATTTTAAGAATATGGAATTCTAGGGATTATTGGATCTAGAAATTTGAGAATTTTGTGCTTTAAGAAATTAGGGAATTAGGAATTTGAAAAATATGGAAATGTAGGGATTTTTAGATCTAGAAATTTCGGTATCTAGGGATTTATTAAACTAGGAAATTAAATATTTTAAGAATATGGAATTCTAGGGATTATTGGATCTAGAAATTTGAGAATTTTGTGCTTTAAGAAATTAGGGAATTAGGAATTTTTAAAATATGGAAATCTAGGGATTTTTACATGTAGAAATTTAGGAATTTTTAGATCTAAGGAACTAGGGAATTAAGAGTGTCAAGAATTATAGAAATCTAGGGATCTCTGAATCTAGAAATTTTTCGAATTTAATGACTTGGGAAACTAGGGAATTAAATGTTATAAGAACATGGATATCTAGTGATTTTTACACCCAAAAATTTAGAAATTTGATTATCTAGTAAATTTAAAATTTAAAAACTTACAAAAACATGCTATCTTCCATAAAAAAATTTTATACACCCCATTTACTTAAAAACTTCTAATTTCGAATCCAGCAGACCACCAACAGCCCATTACCGTTCGTAGACACCATAACACGCGAATTGTTCATGGAGCACTCGATCTGCCCATCGTTGACCCACGCCATTTTCTCCCCGATCGTAACGAAACTCGGCAACATCCTCCGAACATCGCTTTTATCAGCGGTGTAGTAATATCTCCGCGGCTTGTAACGGCTATTACATAGTACCATTACGCGTGTCGGCTGGTAACAGCGAAAAGCGTTAAAGATTAAATTCCGTAATTACAAGGCATAAGCTGTTGCAGCTCGACTTCGTCCCGGAAGTCATCCATCTGCGAGTCCGAAATTGCCTCTCGTCAAAGAGAACGATTGTGTCCGGCAACTCCAATAAGAGAATTTTAATTAGAATCTAGTGGAAAATCGCTGGACAAATATTGCGGTTTTTGTTTGAGGACTTTATTAACTCGTGGTGGGACAAGAAGAGGGATTTTGTTATTGATGATGATTTGTGAGGATGTTTTTCAATTTTGCTAATTTTAGATATTTGGTAAATTGATTATTTTGTCGTTTGAGATTTTGGAATTTGATACATTTGGAAATTGAAAATTTTGTACTTTGAGATTTTAGAATTTGAAAAATTTGAAACTTTGGAAATTTTAAGAAGTTTAGAAATTTTGTCAATTTGAAATTTTTCAATTCTTTAAATTTTATAAATTTGGAAATTGAAAATTTCATTCTTTGACACTTTAGAATTTGATAAATTTGAAAATTGAAAATTTCATACTCTGAGACTTTGGAATTTTTTAAGTTTGAAACTTTGGAAATTTTAAGAAGTTTAGAAATTTTGTCAATTTGAAATTTTTCAATTCTTTCAATTTTATAAATTTGGAAATTGAAAATTTCATTCTTTGACACTTTAGAATTTGATAAATTTGAAAATTGAAAATTTCATACTCTGAGACTGAAAAATTTTTTAAATTTGAAAC